GTTTAGGGTTGAAGGTACTTGGGGTTTAGGGTTTAGGGTACTTGGGGTTTAGGGTCGGAGTCCTGTCCCCTGCGAAAAAGGCGGAGGTCTGTTTGTACCGCCCCCCACCTTGGCCTCTTGGCCCCTTCCTCGGTCTTATCATCATCATCATCATCATGATCGTGATAAACATTATGATTGTGATTATCAATATGATTATGATATTCATTATGATTGTGATTATCATTCATATTGTTGTTGCTATTATTATGATTATGTTTAAGAATATTGTTATTGCAAGATTATGATTGTGATTAACATTGTTATTGCTATGAATATGATTAGCTTTAATATTGTTGTTACGATTATGATGATGGGGTCTAGGATCGAGGGTCTAGGGTCATCAGCAACGTTGTCATGCGTTTGACTCAAGATTTTTGCGCATACCATCTACTTCACACCTGCCATCCATTGTCCACACGAACAACGGGTCTTTCCAAGGATATCTTAAGCACATCTGTTTAACCGCCGGAATTACCCTAAAACTGCTGTGGAAACCTATGCAACGCTGAGCGCTTCAACCCCCCAAAAAAGCTAAGATTCGCAGACCATGCCTACACCCTCCCGGAGAAAAAAAAAACAAAACAACAACCCAGAAAAATCCCCTACCTCAGTCCCCCAACCCCGCCAAAGGCAACCCTTTCGCCACACTCCGGCAAGGCCTCATGAAGACGCCGCAGCCATGTCAGGCGCCCGGCGTGTTCTTAAACTTTTGAGGGGCTTGGCTGTCTAGGGGCTTAGGGTTTACAGGGGTTTAGGGTTTCTAGGGGTTTAGGGTTTAGGTTTTTAGGGTTCTTTCAACTCGTACCTACAGCTCGTTCAAGGTGTTATTCTAGAAGGCTTTAATACAGGTTGTATCGGGAGTCCAGTTGTTGATAGTTTTTGGGATTGGGCGTTTCAGAACCCCTGGGCTTTGTAGGATTTGTAGCGTCGACGATTGGGTTTAGGGTTTGGGGTTTAGGGTTTAGGGCATGAGGCTTTGAATCGCAGCTCGAGTTTCGGGGGTCATCCGGGCTTGATTAACGCTTCGGCTTGCTCGGAAATGATGGCATCTATTGTCCACACCCTGTAGGATTCTCGGCCTGAGGGGGTTGAAGCTTCTGCTTGTCTGGCTGCGGGTTTCTGGTTCAAAAAGGTTTCTGTGGGTTTTAGGTGCGGATGGATGGGGATTTTTCATATACTGCTGAGTCTGAAGCCTCCAACGGCTTCGGATTCGGTTTTCCGTGCCGTGGTCAATCTTTCGGAGTTCAGAATTTTTGGGTTTGGGGTGGGTTAAAGAGGTCTGAATACTTGGCACCTAGAAAAAGCACTCCAAAACCTGTTCTAGTACGGTCCGTCTTTTCGCAGGGTTCAATGTCAGGAGGTTCAGATGCAGGCAACGTCAGCAAGCCTTCACCAATGCATACGCACGCACAAAGCTTGCAACCGGGTTGTAGCATTCTATGTAAAGTCGCTATGAGTTTAAGACTTGAGGTTGGATGGGGTTTTTTTTTTACAGAACCGCAGCTCCTACCACAGAAGTCTGATTCATCGCTGTAGCAGTGGCGGTCTTGAGGGTTCCTCACAGGATGTTATAGTACAGAAGCAACCCTCCAAAAAGCTACTGCAGTCCAATTATTCAAGCTTCTATATCAAACTCTATAGGCCCTAAACCTTAAACCCAAAGCCCTAGGCCCTAAGCCCTGAACCCAATGCCCTGAACCCTAAGCCCCAAACCTTGCGCAGTTGCGCAAGCCCTCAACCCCGTAATCTCCTGGCTACAGACTACACGGAAGAGCCCTCTGCATGGGTCCAGGATTTGGGGGGCTTGGTTTTGGAGTCCAGATGAACAGGAATCAAGGATTCAGGGGATTTTTCGCCGAGTTCTGCTTCTATACCATTGAGGGCACCTCTGTTTGCGCTCTCAGCTTGTGTAGAAGTGAGGAAGGGATCATAGTGCAAGACCGTCAAGCTCTTAACTTAAGAAGCTGGCGCCCGGAACCAAAAGTTGAACCCTGAACCTCAAAACACTCAACACCCAAAACCCTAAACCCCACAAACCCTCCACAGTCGCCTGCGCTCTTTCCCCTCGCTGTCCGACCCATCACGAACCCACCCCGCTGAAACAATCGGCGTGTCCCGCCTCAAGGGTTCTGGCCCGATCCCTTCCCTGGGTCGAGGGTTTAGGGCTGAGGGTCCTTGGGGTTTAGGGTTTAGGGTTTAGGGTTAGGGCTTGGGTCCTTGGGGTTTCGATTTTAGCGTCGGCCTTTGGGGGGTTTAAGGTCAAGACGAAGGAGAGGAGTTGGGAAGCAGACAGAAGCAGCAAGGCGCCAGTGCCACGAAATCCCGAAAGGCTTGTCCCCTAAACCCTAAACAGCAAAACCGAAAAAAACCCTAAACTCTAAATAGCTATAGTATTGATAACATTGGTAACTATTCAGGCCTCTAGACCATTAAGTTAAAGGAAACTACAGGTGGGGAGTTTAGGGTATATAGGGCTTCCCTTAAGGCTTCTATAAGGTATATAGACCTTCTATAAGGCTCCTATAACGGTACCTACCCACCTAAAAAAATGTCTTAGACGAAGCTCTGAACAGCAAACCCCTAAACCCTAAACCTTGTCAGCCCCTGCCCAGGCTCCACAAAAGGGGAAACAAACATGGCTTGTGCCTTTTAAAAGAGCCGCCTCTGCGGGATCCTACCAGGTGTCGTGAGCATAATATCGCTGCAAAGGTGCCTAAAGTAATAACACTTATAGCAATCATAGGAAGAATACCTATGGTAACGATTGCAATACTAACAACAACAATATTAATTGCAATAATAACAACCACTCACATTTACATGTCATCATTACTACGGTAACTATTATTTTCGCATAGAATAGTATTTAATGTGCATATTTGCTATGGGCATTGTGATTCTTCTTCCTGTTTCTAGTGTTGTTACTATACTTTATTTGACGATATTCATTTCTGTTGCAATATAGGGACAAATTCTAGCCTATGATGCTATAGTGCATTCTTGATATTGCAATATGTTTTGATATACTCTTTCTATATTGTGTTGTACTATAACTCATTTTGCCTTACGTTCCGTATCATACCATGTTGAACTACAATACTATACTTATTGTATTATAGCACACGTTACTATACTATACTGCACTTTACTTTATTACATAATCTATAGTACCACCTATTCCAGTTGGTTCACTTTATATGCTATAGCATTTTTTGCTATTGTACATTACCATACTTACCCATACTATGTTATATTACATTGTAAAATTTTTGCTACATTAGATTACGTTACAGAAAATACTGTGCTATATCATGTTACATTACACTTATTCACACCAAGTTGTCTTCTGTTATACGGTCTAACTGTACGAGAGTACCTTTTGATATAGTAGTTTACAGTATGTTGAATACTACTTTACATCACTAGGCTATGCTATAAGATGCTACATATAATATGACGTACTATATTCTATTACAATGCAAAGTTTCTATTATGTTATATTACAGCACACCTCATTATACTGTATGATATTCTGTCACATTTGTTACTATAAGATATTGTGTTTTGCTTGATGCACTTTGAAGACAAAATATTACAACATGTTGTAATATACCGTTTAATATTTCTACAATGTAACACGTTGTATTGTATTATATTATACTGTAGTATTTTATACTACACTATACTGTACTATACCACATTATGTATACATATATGTATGTATGAGTATCCTATATTGACGCATGCTTCTCCAAAGCATAGTATGCTAAAACATCAGACCTTATACGACTGTATGCTACTATATCAAGTTCATACTATATTCTATTATATCATATTACAGTATTAGGTTCTCTTGCATTCAGCATTTCAGTATGCCATTCTATCGTGCGGCATATTTTCTCTATGGCTAAATTATGCTGTATTGTAACATATAGCATTAAATTTGATCATGTTTGTCAGATGCTCAGTATTATAATATTGCACGTACAGTCTTACATTACATCATACCATACTATGTTCCATGATAAAAAAGGTAAAGTTTGGCATAACGTACTATTATTTTATTTTGGATAGGCATGAACTTATAATCTGCTAGAATGTGTCATTTCATGCTTGCTGCATTAAATTAAATTACATCACATTGTCGTCCGTTTCGTTCAACTCTATTGTATTCTACTGCGTTGAATTTTCACTGTACTATCTTGCCTTACATTGCTATATCAAACTGCATTACTCCATATCATGCTATGTTGTGCTGTACTACACTGTAGTGTGTCAAACATTATGATATCAAATCTTCTAATATGTATGAATTGCTATAGCACAGTCCGCCCTAAAAGTTCTAACATAATATCTTAAACTCAAGCGGGTTATTATGTTATCTTCTGCTATATCATTGTATGTTGTATTGTGTTATATTCCTCTACCTTTCAACATTCGCGATGATAATAAAGTGTTTTGTATCACCTGTACAGTCGTAAAGCATCTTCTATTCTGTTCGAGTTTGTATTACAATACTATATGATGCTTTAACACATCATATTTGATATGTTACAATGTAACATGTTACATGTTTTTTTCTTTATTGCTTTTGTTTCATGATTTTTGTTTGGGTATCATATTAGAATATGTTGTAAGATGTTATGATACGTCATTTCATACTGTTACACAAGTTATAATATAATGACAAAAACAGCGATAACACATAATAATACTACAGTGTATCTTGCTATACGGCATTTTTATTAAACACAATGTATCATATTACACATTGACGTCATGTTTTGCGTTGCCGTATATTGTCTTGTCTTATCTTATGGTACCTTATATCATAGTATCTTGTATCGTACTGTCTTCGTGTCTTATAAAACCCTAAACCCTGAACCGTTTTGACTTTTCTGCACCCTAAACCCTAAACCCTACATCCAGCCAGCCGAAACGGTGGCGCTTGTCCGGCCTCAAACTTTCTTGCGTTTGCCCCCGGCCTGACAGGGAGACGCAAAAAAAAAAACCTCGCGAAGTGGAAGGTCCCCAATATTCCCCTTTTGGGGTTTAGTATTTAGGGTTTTGGGTTTAGGGTTTAGGGTTTTGGGGCTAAGTCTTGTTTTACAGGGTTCCCTCCCTGACCTTGAGAATCAGCTTCAGAGCCTCTTCCTTTTTTGCGATCAAGTCTTTCTCTGACCCAAGCCGCGTGGTGTCGGCAGCCCTGTCGGCCACTGTATATCCGTAATTGTCTATGACATTGAGGTTGACACCAGCCTGAACAGGGGCAGGGTGCGCCCGAACACGAGAGGCGAGCATGGCAGCAGTCAAGGAACGCGTGCGAGTGGAGATGAGAGGGCGAAGAGCGAACCGCCCCGGGCCTTGATCAGGACGCGCAGCGCCTCCACCTTGCACATCTCAGCGGCCAAGTGGGCCGGGGTGAATCCAAATTTGTTGCTTGCGTCATTGAGGTCGGCCCCGGCCTCACCGATTCAGATTCTCGGCGACTTGGGGAACACTAGCATCACTAGCACAGCATGATTCAGCATGACTCTACGAAGCCGCAGCCCTGGCCTCGGCCAGAGCCTCCAGTGCCTCTGCGTTCCCTCTTTCGGCCGCCCAACAGGCCGGCGTCGCACCAACATTGTCCTTGGCATCCAGATTGGCACCTGCCTCACAGGGAAGAGTCTACGGAGGCGCAAAAAAAGCGCCGGAAAGCTCCAAAAGGCGCCTCGTGCAGGAACTTCAGCGCCGCCGCACCGTCGCCATGATTTATCCAATTTGGGTTGTCTGCGGCCCAGTGCGCCACGGTACCCCCGCGAGCCACTTTGGCATTCATATCGCACCCAGCCTGGTAGCCCACGGAGCTTCCAAACTTTGCCTACGACGCGTACAGGAAGACTCTAGAAAGCAGCAGCCCTGGCCTTGGCGAGAACCTTGAGTGTCTCTGCTGCGTTGCGATTTCGGGCTGCAAGCTCGGTCAACAGTTTGCCCTCCTCGTCTGTCGCACACAACTTGGCGCCTGCCTCTTTTAAAGGGGGAATGGAATGGCGGCTCTCTATTATATGGAGGCGCAAAAAAAGAAAAGAGGCGGCAACAAAAAGAGAAGAAGAGGCAGAGGGGGCGCCTCTTGGAGGAGCTTCAGGGCTTCCACCTGCCGTGTCTCGCGGCAAAGTGCGCCGCTGTCCAGCCGTCGTAGTCAGGGTCCACTATGGCATTCAAATCGGAGCCGGCCTCGTCACGATTCCGAAGTTCGCCGGCTCACTGGAGCCGAAAAATGTGCAATATTACACGGACTTCCATAGACAGCACCCGCACGGCCCTCCCGAAAGAATCGCCACGCATGCCATGCTACTGCGAGAGCAACCTCAAAACAAAGCTGGGCCTGAAGGTGCTGTGCGAGGGCCGCCACGTCGCCTCGCTGGGCAGCCTCTTTCAAAGAAATCGCTGGAGGCTGCGCCCTCGTCGTGGTGATGGTGCTGGTGGTCGTGGTCGTAGTAGGCGGCACGCTCGCCTCCACGACGAGTTCCTCTGTCGCCTCTGCCTCCTTGTCCTGTCGGTTCATGGTGCTTTCATGTTCTGACTTATCCTATATCGCGGCCACGGGCACACGAACAGGGAGGTTGGACAGGCTCAGCTCTTGTTCACCTTTCTTAGGGGCCTCCTGCTTGCTCTCCTGGAAGAGTCGGCTCAAGAACACATCTTGCCCGGAAAGGGCTGCACACTGACCATCTTTCGCTTCGGCGACCAACATGCCACCGCGCTTTCCACAAAGCCTGGAATGCCGAGTGCACAGTATGGCGTGGCGAATGTCGAATGGCCGAAGCCGTAGATATTCGCAGTGGGACAAGGCCTTGTAGTTCTGCACCTCTTCACTTGACGACTCGTCCGGCTTGTACAGGTCGTCAGGATTACTGTGGAAGAAGCCGTCCACATGCTTGGACACATTGTAATCCATAGCATTTCTGAGCGATTTCAAGCCGTAGCTATTTGCACCAAAATGGTTCGCGAAGGGCTGGTCGTGCAAAAACTTGCCGTCCTCGGCCGTCTCGAAGCCGACGCGAGCGCAGTTCGTCAGGGCTCCGGTGATGCCGGCGCCACTGGCCGCCCCGAGCAGTGGAAGCACCGCTACGGCGAAAGGAAGCACAACCGCACCGGTCACGGTTCCGGAGACGAGGCCCACCATAAGGCTGACAAAGCCCGGGCCGATTTTCTCTGCCGTCGCTGAGTCAGCGACGATACCGCCGGCAGTTCCAAAGGCTCCTGCAGCAAGCAAGCCGGCGAACACACCGGCGACGAGACCGCCGGCGGCATCTGCAGGGGCAATGAGGGCCATCTTGAGTTTGTCCTTGTAGTCTTTTGCGCGCGACACAGCGATGGTCCTCAGCCGATCTTCTACCAGCTCTTGCGGCGACGGCTCGCACAGCACGCAAAGGTTGAAGCATTGGTAGGAGTTTTGGTTTGCAAGTGCCTGATCGGTCAGCATCCAAAGGTCTCGGACCAGTTTCATCGACTCCTGAATAGGAGGCGTAGTAGACTGCGAAAGCATCTCATCCACATTTATCTTGACACCTTCCAAGACGTCCTCATAATTTTCGGAGTCAACCCAGCTCTTCTGGAATTCGAGAGCTCGTGGGTAGTCGTNNCGGTGGCCAACCGCCCCCTGGCACAGCAGCGACGCCAAGCAGGCCGCCAGAACACACCGAGGAAGCGCTGGCATGGTGCGCATCCTGAAGTTAAAGAATGGAGTTGACAGACAAAGTTGCAACAAAAGACTTCGAGCCCGGCGAAGCAACGGAGACATAGAGCTCACACTTCAGGGCCGCGGTGTGGGGTTCCACCGCTCCACCCTTGAGTCCGAGAGAGGTGAGGCTGAGGCTCCAAAATTCTCATCTTCCCCGGCTCTTCTTTGCTTTCTGAGGTCTTCTCCCCCCCCCCCCCCCCCGGTCGGCAGAAGGGCCGAAGGTGACAAGTACAAAAGAACAGCCGAATCTCGGAAATCCCCCACGGAATGTTCAGGTTGCAGGTTTGGCGTGAACCTCAAGCCCTAAACAGCCCGCAATCCTCAACTCAAAAGCTTCAACCTGCGCCCTACACCCAAAGTTCTAAACAGCTCGAGACCCTAAACATCTAAGCCCTAAGACCGCGATATAGCTGCTTTTGGCACGCGTCGGCACGAAAAGCAGCCGGTCAGTCGGCCTCAGTTTAGGTAGAGGTTCGCGGATTCTATAAGGGCTCTACAAGGGTGCCGTAAGGGTTGTACAAAGGGGAGGGGGTCTGAGAGTTGAGAAGTGGGGCTTTTCCGAGTCAAAGATGCAAACCCTTCCAACAGCCTCAATAGTCGGATCTCTGTTATAACGGAGGCTGGGTAGAACTCAGGGGACTATCTCAGGTATCAACTAGAGCAGAGAGGGCCGAGGGTTCAGGATGAGTAGGGTGGAGCACGAAGCGTTTTGAGCGTGAAGGACGAAAAGTGCCCGAAAGGACTCGAAGAACCACAACAAAAAAAAAACTAAGCCCTGCCAAAACTGAATCTGCAAATGATCAACCAGTGAGAATGTAACCGTACTCTGTTTGCCTAGCAGAGGCCTGCCTCCTTCTTCGTGGGTCTTCAAGTATCTTAAAGCACAGCTACACAAGAACAGGAATGGTGCACCCTGAAGCCTAAACCCCCAAAAGGGGCCTTCTTCCAATAAGCCCTACAGCTTGGAAGCCGAATACCCTGAAGGCCTAGGGTTTAGGGTTTAG